TTATTTTTACGATATTTGATACCAAATGTCATTTTTTTAATGACATTTGACATCAAATGTCATAAAACAATGACATTTTGTTCTTAAATGTCGTGAAATTCTTTATTTTCCGACATTTGTTTCAAATGTCACCAATTTAATGTCGTCGTATGTACATTTTCTTGTAGTGATTTGAGTTGTTGTCATCCAATCTTGTATTCAAGTGTGAAGCAAGTTCAATCTCCACATCAGGCTGAAATAATGAAAACCATGAAAATCTCATACATAATTAAATAAACATATATCTATAAAACACATATCTTTATACGTCTTGATAAAAAAAAAATTAACGCTTACCAAAATAAATTAAAGATAGAATATGGCAGACTTAATGATGTGGTGAGAATACAAACAGATCCTGAACTTTATAAGACATTGCGTTAAATTTAACAACTTCCAAAATACAAAATGACTAGATTAAAATAATAAAAATAATAACATAATCGTTGAATTTTGATGTGAATCATCAAACCCAGAAGAACAAAATATTACCTTTATATTTCTAAAAAATATTTACCATCTATTCTCCTTTGTTGAACCTACAAAAAGAAAATTTTCATTAGCAAAATAACACTAACAAAAGAATTGAACAAGATAATGGGGGTAAAAAGGGGAGAAGGGAGAGAGAGGGTGATAGAATTAATGGATTAAAGGGAAGATGTCTTAAATTTGGTGTGTTACATACGTGGGAAGGGAGAAAGTGGGGTGGTGGGGTGGTTATTTAATTGGGATTAAAATTCTAGGGGGAAATCATGACCTTAGACTATTTTTACAATTTTAGCGGGAAACATATTGAAATTTTGGTTGCTTTTTGGGTCTAAATGAAAAATGAGAGAATAATTTTTAGCGCATGGAACTAGCTTTTCGTTTTATTTTCCCTTTTTTTTAATTAATTAGTAACTATTAATTAAAATATTTATCTTACAAAATTAATTAGTATTACAAGAGCTTAAAGAAACCTTAAATAAATAAAAAATAAATATGATTATTGATAATTGATTTGACACATATATATATATATATATATTAAAAGTAACGAATTCAATAAATATATTTTGGGGTTGATAATTGCCACAAATTATACTAACTTGTGGAGTTTTTCTAACCTTTATAATAAAACTACCATAAAAAGATTTAAATTGTGGGAGTTAGAATAAAACGTCACAAAATGAATTAATAGTGGGGTTTCTTAAAACTCACAAATTAACTGCCATAAATTGAGTATTTTTTTATTGTGTGCGTCTATAACTGGTATGCGATGTGTAGCTTGAAGATGTTATATAACCTATTGAAATTGGCTTGCTCTTCATTCTATTGAAACTTCTCATGACTTGATTGAGTATACCCGAATACAATTTGAAAAAATGAACAAATTGTATCAGCGAATACAACTGTATCAATGTTGAATCAAGTTTAATATTTATAATTTTATAATTAATTGTGATCATTTGTATCAATGGTGTATCAATTGTATTAACAAATATAATTTGTATCAATGAATAAATTGTATGAGCGAATATTATTATATCAATGTTGTATCAAGTCAACATTTTGAATTTGTGTAATTGATTGTTATCATTTTGTATCAATGTTGTATCAGATACATGCATATTTATATTTTGTATCACTGCAAATGATCTATGTAGTTGACACTAATCATTTGTATTTATATAAGAGAAAATACATAATTATCCCATTAAACTTATACCTATTTTTCAAATAGACACTTAAAATTTGTGAGAGTCTTATTACCCCACGAAACCATTTTCAACTATTATAAATATATTATTTTGACAACAATGTTAATCTCAAACCTTACGCGTGTGTTCACTCTCAAATAAAATTTATTTTATTGCTATCCATTAATAAAGAATCGAGTAATACCCGAACCATTCACATATTAACCCTCAAATCTAATTAGACCACCCATTTCACTCTCTCCTTCTTTTCACTCAAACTACTGTGAAACATTTTCTTCTTTTACGAATTTCACCATGAACAAGAAGCAATCAATTGCAAATTATAGAAAATCAATGAAAAAAGTTGATGTTTGGATTATCAATTGGTCATGGGTGTTGATTCGAAAAGCTAATTCAACACATTTTGTATCAATTTTTGGATTATCAATTGCTCATGGATGTTGATTCAAAAAGCTTATTCAACACATTTTATATCTAATCATATACTGCAAAAAATGGCCACTCTCTAATGGCTTCAATTTTGTTTATATCTTTTGAAATTTTGACGTCTAAGTTGTAAATTCATCAAATTCTGCTATTTAAATTATGGGTAGTTTTTTTTTGTTGTTTCACATTGGATTTTGGCTGAGAGACTCAATTGTAACTGAATAACTAAGTCTAAGTCCATCAAAAAATCGTCTTTTTGGTGCATCACCGGAAAAGAACTTCATCAACGACAAGCTGATTTCCTCTGCGACAACGCCAGTATCTGATTTCGTCTCCTCGTCCTTGGCCGATGGGGGTGGCGGTGGAGCAATGAGAGCACCTTAACAACTATTTCAACTCCGCTAAAGCCTTTTTACTCATGTTTTGGAAGTTCTTCAACTTTGCTGCTCTCTTCCTTAAATAAAGAAGATGCAATAATTGAGGGTTCAAATTGGCAATGCCACGCGTCATTTTTGCACTGGTTTGGAGCTGAATTTTAGTCATACACGCGCTTCTCAAACGTGATATCACACCCTCTATGAAAAAGGGTTAAAATGGTATATTTTTAATGATTGAAAATGGTTCCGTGGGGTAATAGGACCCTCGCAAACTTTAAGTGTCTACTTGAAAAACAGGTATAAGTTTGATGGGGTAATTATGTATTTTCTCTTTATATAATTGATTGTTATTATTTTTATTTGTATATTTGACGATTAACATTTATATTTGTATAATTGATTGTTATCGTTTGTATTTGTATTGAGAGAGAGGAGGCAGAGAGTGGGGAGAGAGAGGGGGTCAGGGATAAGATAGAGGTGAGGGAGTGATGAGAGAGAGAGGAGAGAGGTGAGCCAGAGCGCAAAAAGAGAGATGAGAGAGGAGAGGAAGAGAGAAGAGAGAAAATATCTACAAAATTCTAACTATAGTTACAAATTATAATTTTCTCAAACTATAATGATTTATTGTAAATATATATCACATATTTACCTAATTACATAATTTCCCCTTTAATTATACATAAGTCACTTTTCATTTATTTAAAAAGGATAAGTTGGCAGGACATGTAGTAGAAAATACATTAAGGGTCTGTTTGGAAAGCCACCTGATAATTGAAATTGGTGTAATTACTAGCGTAGTAATTATATAGTCTACTAATTACGTTGACATACTTGTTTGTCACAACGTAATTACAGTATAATTACAAGTGTAATGTTTGGTTGCACAAGTACAATCACAAGGTTATATTAAATTTTAAAAATAAAAGTTAATTATCTAAAATTTTAAAAAAATTATTAGACAAATAAGGGTCTTTGTAAATGATATTAAATTAAATATTTAAGATATATATTGTCTTTTGAAAATATATTAATTAATAAATATATGTTCTTGATTTATATTATAAAAAGTAATTGATTTATATTTTTCAAATTAGTATATTTTAATTAAATTAATCATAAAAACTAAAAGCACAAGATTTCTATGAATGCATGTTTGACAAAAATATTTATATTATAAATATGATGTCATAAAATTATTAAAATATTTGACAAAAATATAATTTATCAAATCTAACT